TGCTCCACATCCCTGCTCCTTCTCTTTGGCTCTGTCTCCTGGCCTTCCCAAAGTGTCCCTTTCCTCCCAGGATATACTGCGGTAAACAGACAGGGCTATCCTGACGGACAGCACAGCAATTCAGCAGCAAGTTGGATTCAGAAGCATAGGGTCGAGACTTGAATATAAACGTTCAGCTTTCAATGTTCTACCCTACCTATTGAGCAAGGGAATATGTGTGCATGCTTGGCACTTCCCAACTAGGATCCCTTCGGCAATGGCATCTTTTTGAAGGATCAGAAACGCAGGCATAAAAATACAGCTACAGCTTGAAATCCTTAAATGCTTTTTGACAAAGAGGAAGAAAAAAGAGTCAGCTGAATCCTTAAGCATAATGAGAGAGTTGGAATACTGCCTTTGGCTACAGTGGGAATATGCTTTCACCTGGGGTGCATAAGGACATTCCCAATATCACTTTCATCCGGGTGTTTTGGAGCAAGATACCCAGCATTAACAAAACGTTCTGCAAAATATTCCTGTGAGTCCATGCTGCAGATGAGCAATCTATAGATGGAGACATATATTTATAGTTACTGAGGAGGCCTGAGAAAAGATTCTTGTCCCACGGGTACTGATTTTGAGTTCATTTATGCTTCTGTAATAAAGGAGAATTACTGCTGGTTTAGACCCATATTTGACCAAAATCGGGACTGACAGGATTAATTTGTGGCCATCCTAAAATTTATGGGTACAATTCTCAGTAGTATTTTTGGTAACTTAGGACTTTTTCACACTGAGCATTATATACTGTACTAATGCGCATCTTACCTATGTGGAGTCTTTGCACTTGGGCTACAAAAAGATACTTCCATTTGGAAATTTAACGATTCCGTCTTAGTTATTCCACACTGAAGGAAAAAAAAAAAAAGAAAGAAAAAAAATACCCAAGAGCTTCTTTATTAAACATTTATCTGCAATTAGATATGAAGGTCCTTACCTCAGCTCAGTTCCTTTAGAAGCAAGGCTATCCTGAATATCATACTAAATTAAAGCTGTACATTACAAATAATATTTTCATAATTGCTCTTATGTTTGTGTCTGATCTTAGGCTAAAGCACAATACCACTGGGGGCACTAGGGGCTAAATAAATCTTTCCCCAATAAACAAGAAACCCAAAGTGTTTATGGAGCATGAAACAATTATGTGTGACTCCACCTGATGCTGCTGAGCAAGCTGTTCCCTTTCACTGTGCTATTATTAGACGGGAATGTAGTGGGTTGGAGAGCATCCTTCATTAATGGAACGGTAGGATAACCAGGTTGGCACAGAGCACGGCTCTGGGTACACAAGCCTAAACAAAAGGTCTCCCAATAAATAAGCATATTTGAATGAATTAATAATTTAGAAAAGGGTCCTGAGACTCCACTTGTGCACCGCTTAATTGACTTAAAACTTGCGTATATAAATTTAAAATTTCTTTATATATGTGTATGGCTTTGGCTTCATTTCTGCACAGTTGTTTAACAGAAGATGTAAAACTCGGGAATTGCAATCGCAATGATGCAAAATGAGAGGTTAAAAGCCCTTTGTGTTCTGAGTGGAACAGTGCTGGTAACACTGACGTAAAAAAGACCTGCGTGGACCCAGAAATTGCTTGAAAGACAAACACATTGGAAGAAAGCCTCAGAAACGCGGTGCTAAAAATGGAACACGAGCGTCTGTAAGGCATCTGTCCAAGAAAGTGAAGAAAATATATTTTTGGCAGCCAACACTGAAAAACAATCATGCAGAGAATACAACAAACTAAAATGAACAGAAGACACAAGTTGCTAGTCTCTACCTTGACTTTGAGAAACCCTGTACTATCATTAGCATGCTGCAGAAAAATGAGCATTGGTGAACACCGTGGTGCCGTAGTATCATTTTATTGTTATTCTATATTGATAGTATTGATATTTTATTGACACTTCTAGCATGTTTATCTCACCATTATTTCCCTCCTCCCTTGATCCACTGAAATTCCTTTTATTTTGGTCTCCTGCAAGCGTAATGGCCCGTACTTCAGTTGTGATCATTAGAGACCGATCCCCCCAGGAACTCAGGAGTCCTTGTGGGACTCCTGAGCATTTTACCCATCCTGATACAATGATTTTCAGTGCTGGGATTTCAGATGCTAAAATGTTGGCCTTTGAGAATAGCTATATCTTTCACTTTTCATTGCTTCCTATTTATATTTTCCATTATCTTCATATTTTAAAGCCAATGAACAATAGAGCAATCATATTTGTCACTAAGCAAAACAGAACGAGAAAGTGCAACTCACTACTTGAAAGCATCTTTTGTATTTCTTTGCCTTGTATTTACTGGCTGTCCTGACATCAAAGGACATCAAAGTTTAGCCTTAACACAAAATCATAAAAGCTGTATTAGGATTAAATGGGCGATATGAGAAAAATATACAGTATTAACACATCCTGCTATACTGAGTAGCTTCTTTGACATAAGAAAACGAAGTTGGAAGAATCAAGCAGTTAAATGTAGTTAACTGTAAACAGAGACTGCGGCAGGGTTCAGATCTGAAGTTAGAAACAAAAGCATTTATGGAGTATTAGGACAAGTTTGGGGAAGTTTTCTGAAATGTGAGGAGATGAAAAGCAGTGAAAGTGCAGCAGGAAAGCAAAATAAAATCATAGGAGATGGGGTGACATAGATGGAAAAATGAAACCATAGAAATAAATGAATGTTTAACAAATTCTGCTTTTTTGAGAAATGGCAACAATGCACAGCTCTGAATATATACAAAAAAGAAGTATTTCAGGAAAATAATACAATTATTTGTTATGTAATCAGCCTGGGCAGCAATGCCGATTAATGCAGCAAGCATACCTACGGTGTGTTGGAAGCACCAGGGGACCATGTGCATTAATCAAGCATTACTGCACAGTTGGTCCCGGGTTATTAGCTTAATTGAAAAATGTTTTATTCTCCCCACTCTCCTCTTGTAATGATGCTCGGATTTGAGCACGGCTCCTCCTAACAACATCTAAAAGTTAATAAATACATGGGGGGGAGGGGAAAGGAGAAAAACATGTGTCACAAATGATTTTGTTTTAATGACATGGGAAATCTTTACTCATTTCTATTTCTCAGCTCATGAGGGTGACAGAGCCCTGGAACAGGCTGCCCAGAGAGGTTGTGGAGTCTCCTTCTCTGGAGATCTTCAAAACCCGCTTGGACGCAGTCCTGTGCCACGTGCTCTAGGTGACCCTGTGTGTGCAGGGGGGTTGGACTAGATGATCTCTAGAGGTCCCTTCCAACCTCAAGCATTCTGTGATGCAGGATGACTCTTACAGATTGTACACATTAAAAATAAATGAATAATTTTAAAAAAGGAGATAAGAAAATAAAAAGACACAGGAAACCCCGCAAA